CTCTCACATGCGGTAGAAGTCTCTGGGCAGTGACAGGTCCTCTTCATGCCGTCCTCTCACATGCGGTAGGATGTCTCTGACCAGTGACAGGTCCTCTTCATGCCGTCCTCTCACATGCGGTAGGATGTCTCTGACCAGTGACAGGTCCTCTTAATTCCGTCCTCTCACATGCGGTAAAATGTCTCCGGCAGTGACAGGTCCTCTTCATGCCGTCCTCTCACATGCGGTAGGATGTCTCTGACCAGTGACAGGTCCTCTTCATGCCGTCCTCTCACATGCGGTAGGGTGTCTCTGACCAGTGACAGGTCCTCTTCATGCCGTCCTCTCACATGCGGTAGGGTGTCTCTGACCAGTGACAGGTCCTCTTTGCGTCTATGGGTTACGGCGAGTTCACATCTGCGCGCGTCCCGCCATCACATCATAAATCGCGCACATCCGGATTCGTCTGACGGGAAGCCGCCGGTTCAGGAAAGCTCGTTGGGGCCAAACAAGGAAAGAAACGATAATATTGGTGACCAGCGCCGGAGAGCGACCAGAAAACGGCGAACGCGTCCACCGCCGGCAGGAATAAAATCCGTTTCATGTGAAGGAAATAAAAATCCGGCCCGACATGTTCCTTGTATTCCTCACTGTCGGTCCGGGAGGATGGACGGAGGTCAGACTCCGGCGGCGGCGATGCGTCCGGCACGTCTTGGCACCCGGTGACCCCCATCCGGCAATCTGTGGAGCCAGCGAAGGTCTATTGAGTTAGAGGGGCCGCGGGGAGCGCAATGAGGTCATCGTGTACGCAGGAACCGTGTCCTCGCATCTGCTGCCATCGTCCCGGCCTCGTCCTCAGCGACAGACTGCCAAATGTGGAACCGCACAGTGCCGAGCCTCCAGCGTGCCGCCAACCAGGAGGGAGGTTCATGTCACCGCTGGCAGGGAAGATCGCACGGCATGGAGGCCGGCTGGTGATGAGAGCGGAGCAGCTGTGAGATTCTCCTCTTCATGCCCCCTCTTGTAATAAAGACCGCCCACTGCTGCTCTCTATCCTTGTGCAGGGTGACTGGTCTTGTCTCCGCCCCCTCTTGTAATAAAGACCGCGGTGCGGCGGGGGAAGGATAGGGAAGAGCGCTGCCCCACCGGGATCACGCGTGCTGCATCTTCTCCGTGTTGGTCCATTACCAGAATTTTACTCAAATTTCTCAACCGGGCCCCAAGACACGGAGAAAGATCTGATTGGCTGACCCCCAAACACAATCACAGGGCGGGCGACACAAATCTTCAGATGTCAGCGACACCTTTGAACACCCCTCCCCCTCTTTTTTCTCTTGGCGCGCAGTCCTTTGAAAGACGCTCGACACCCAGTCCCGGGCGGCGTTCCTCGGCGACGGCGCCTGGCAGAGCGCGGCGAATGCGTGTCTCAGAACTGGGATCTGGAGGCCTGGCGTGTCTGCCGACGTCCTATTTCAAAGGGAATAATGAATATACTTTGTTTTGATATGAAGGATCTGGGTTGGCGGGAGAATAATTATTCTAAACATGTTATTTATCTCCGGAATGCGTCGCTGACGTTTTATAAACAGTCCATAACGTTTATTTTTTCTGCTTTTGGCTCGTCGCGCGGCGTAATCGGCGAGAAACGGAGACGCCGTAGAACACAAAGGAAACGTTTTGTGTCCTCCGTCTACAGACGGGAAACAACGCCCCGATCTGATCCCCCTTACGGATCAGAACAATATTTACAGGAACCGGACGTGAAATGTAACGAATGACAGATTGATAAGTTACTATGTATCTCTTCCTCCTGGATTCCGCCCAGGGCCGGATTTCCCACAAGGCCAACCAAGGCCCGGCCTTGGGGCAGCAGGGAGTAGAGGGGTGGCAGGGAGTAGATGGGCAGCAGGGGTAGAGGGGCAACAGTGGCGGCAGGGAGTAGAGGAGCGGCAGGGAGTAGAGGGGCGGCAGGGAGTAGAGGGGCAGCAGGGAGTAGAGGGGCGGCAGGGGTAGAGGGGCGACAGTGGCGGCAGGGATTTATGGAGATTAGGTGGCGGTGGTGGTGGGGTTTGTAGTCCTAAGCAGGAACAAGCAGCCTAGGGTGACAACACTGCTCCTCCGTAGATACAGTATAGTGAGTGAACGTTGTCACTCTAGCACAGGAGAGGTGACAGGGTGCTAAAAGAAATCCAGTGTGCTCATAACTTCCTGTGCTGTCTACTTTATTGCTTGAGAACGACATGTTCTTCTGCCGCACAACACATTCAACACAAGCCTGCAAGGGAGAAGAACCCTGTGATTCCGGTCAGGACCGGATTTCCCACAAGGCCAACCGAGGCCCGGCCTTGGGGCAGCAGGGGTGTGGAATTCCTATCTCCCAATGCCTAGGACATGCAGTCCTGGGTGCCGGGCGGGTAGTGGTTTTCTACATTTAGAAAACAACTTTGGGCAAGCAGAGCTAAATGTACAGCGGGGAAGCTGACACTTGTTTTGTACAAGTGATCCCAGAGATGTTGCAGAGATAACTTGTATACAGCCTGCATACAGGGGGGCGCATTGAGGAACCTGGCCTTGGGGCGGCAGAGAGAGTAAATCCGGCCCTGATTCCGCCATGTACAAGAACACACGTCCTGCGTTTTCCTGCACAGACATCGGCGTGCATTTCCCTTTAAGTACCCGAAAATTGTCCCCCGACACCTCGGAGACGTGAGCGCCGTATCCGCCCGGCGAGGGTTCTGCCGTGACATTTACTGTATGCAGGTGCTGCTCTGATATTGCCGCGCATACTCGCCGCGCGTTGATGACAAGCGCTTTGGGCGTTCTCCGGGATTCTCGAGACTCATCTACATCTTGCGGCTCCCCGGAGACCTCGTCGTGTTCTCCGGCTGTAACCCTCATCATAGGATAGGGAAGGGATGAGCCTTCAATCCCGCCCCTGGGGAACGATTGCCAAAGAGGGAAACCGTAGTGCCGCCTCCTGGGAGAAGCGTTTTGGGTATTTGAGTAAGAGAAAGGAGGCATTAAAGGCCAAGTCCACATTTTAGATCACGTCCTATGTTACACCTATATGTAGGGGGTATCATGGCTGCGTACACCATCCCCGAAACCCAAACTGCCCTCCCCCCCTTCCCTGAATCTCAGGTGCTTCTAAATGCATTTGGTTTCAGAGATCGCTCTGTGAATGACTACATGTCCCATCTGCCACTCAGTCACTCCTCCCTCTCTGCTCGGTAGCTCAGCCGCTCGCCCTCCAGGAGGTCCGGGGGGGGGGGTCAAAAA